TGTTATTAGTGGGCCGGTCAGAGCTGCTGCTCATGGTTTGGTGGTGAGAGCTTGTCACTCGGTGGACAGAGCTGTTTCTGTTTTTTAGTTTTCATACCCACCGTGACAAAACCTCAGTTAGAGGAGTGGAGTTACCTCCCGCTGAGATGGTGTGTGGATGGGCCCGGTAATAAGGACATTAAACATCTCTGACTAGCCGTAAATAAGAGCTCTGTGTTTTTCTCAGCTCACCAATACGGAAGAAACACATCCTTCCTATTGCACATGAGCCGACACCGAAGTGGAAAGTGACAGTAACTGAGCCAAACATTTTCAGAGCTTTTGCATACACAGCACTAGCTCTCTTATTAAGCCTGATAAATGTGATGTCATTTGTCCTAATAAGCCTATCCATAGGAGAAAGTGTAGTGTCAATGATCTCCTGGTGGGACACGTGCGCTTGTCTAGAACTGAATGCACTAAATGTAATGCCAAACAGAGAGATTCAATTCACGGATTTATCAATTTAATCTAGAAAAAAAAACACATACAGCTGCTTGTTATGGTTCGCCCTGAGGGACACTTTATGTCTGGACACTTTTTTACTCTTTGTTAGGACATTTGTTTCATTTCCCTTTTTTATTTTGGAGTTGACTTCCTCGTGTATCTCAAAGTCATTTTACTTCCTGTCTTTGTCCTGTTTCCCTCCTTGTTGATTGTCTGCCCTGCTCTACACCTGTGTCCAATTACCCTTGCCTCCTTTGTGTATTTAACTCTCTTTCTTCCCCTTTGTCTTTGTCAGTTCGTCTGTTTCTGTTTTGCCATGTTTACCCAGTGTGTCCTTGAGCTGCCGTTTTGTGTTCCTGGTTTCCGGATTATTTCTTAGTTCTATTTTGCGAGTTTTATAAGTTGGTTTTCTTTATTCAAACACTTTTTTTCTCGTCTACACCCTTTTTGTCTGTCTGCATTTTGGGTCCTTAGTTTCTCATACCTGACATTGCTTATTCATGCTATTAGCCAGTCAGCCAAGCTTTACTTGATAGAGGCAGGAAACAAAGTGTGACCATGGGTCCCATAGGTCGTCTGTGCAGCAGGTTATTACGACCTGTAGTTACGTTTTGTTGCTAGGCGACATCTTGTGGTCGTAGTTATGATGACTGGAGCAAAGGGAAAAGTGCGGTGACGTAGTGTAAAGAGAGACAAAGTCCACGTCAGGAGGAGGTTGTGGTGGATGGATGAATATGACACAGGAGAGCGGTGTTCAATTCCCATGTGAAAGTAGCAGTTTATGTTGTTGCTATTATCAAAGTTAACCACGTCATTATTATCGTAACCATGACAGCAAAGTTCATCTAATGTAGAGGAAGTACTTATTTTAACCCACACCTCGATCTTTTCCTAAACCTAACCAAGCCATGACCATTATTATAGTAACCATGGCGACATGATGCATCATATACAACAATCCATGCAGCACAATGTCCTTTTTGTCCTGCATGTGTCTCATTGTCTTTCAGAATTATCACACTCATCTCCAGAATACCACGTTTTATTCATCACATGTTCAGCTCCCACTTGAGGACTCCCCCTGGGCGCCGTCGTCACACAGGGTGATGGGGGTGGGTGGGGCTGGGTTCTTCCTGAAGTCCACTATCATCTCCACTGTCTTGGTTTTGATGGTCTGGGAATCAACCAGCTTCACGTGCTGCCTCCTGTCAGGCAGGAAGTCAGTGGAGTCACACAGCTTGGAGAGCTTGTCCTGCAGCAGAGCCGGGATGATGATGGTGTTGAAGGCAGAGCTGAAGTCCACAAACAAGGTCTTGGCATAGGTCCCTGAGGAGTCCAGGTGCTGGAGGAGGAAGTGAAAATCCATGTTGACAGCACTGTCTACAGACCTATTGGATCTGCAGGTGAACTGCAGGGGGTCCAGGAGTGGGTCGGTGATGGCTTTGAGGTGGGACAGCTCAAGCTCAAATGACTTCATAACCACAGAGGTCCGTCCGCCAGTTATTAAGTCCTGTGGTCCTTGGTGTTTTGGGACAGGGATGATGGTGGAGGATTTGTAGCAGGGTGACAATGAGAGTGGTGTTAAAGATGTTCATGAACACTGCAGCTTGAGGCAGTTTCCTGTTTACTTACATACATGTGTGCTCTGTTGTCATTTTGATGCACTTGCATTGGCGCTCTACTTTTTGTACATGTGTAACATGATTTTGGCATAGGCCTTCATCCATTATGTTCTGTAACAGTAGTTATTCTCGCTATTTCATTAAATGGCGGAAATAAACTGATAACATTTTGGGGAGAAACGTCCAACTAGAAGTAATAATACATACTGCGCATGGAATATCATTGGCTCTGGATATGCTACAGAATAGCCTTGAATTAGGAACTTTTTCCCTCTTCTGCTTTGTAGGACAGACTGCGCAGTGGGAAGAAGACAGAGGAAAGCAGACAGCGGAGCAGTCCTCTGCGGTTTAGAGCTGAGAGGAGCTTTTCCCAAGCCTGTCACCTGACAGCCAAGGCCTACTCAGACTGAGACAGTGACAGTTTGAGGTCAGAGTGTGTTTCCACTTGGCTCAGTGGCCAAGCGACTGGAGAGTTTCAACATGCCCAGAGGAACGGCTCATGAATGGCAGGTATCCTAAAAGTAGCTAGACTCCCCCCAGATTCCTCTGACAGCACTCGTAGCCGTGCTGATATAATCTAACAGGCAAACCGTGCTGTGGAGAGGAAGCTCTCCAGCTCCGGTCCAGGACTTTAAACTCAAACACAGTCAGTGAGTCAGTGAAAAAACTGAAATCATTGTTTTTGCCCCCCTAAGAAGAAAGACTAAAAGTCAGTGTTCACCTTGAAGCCCTAACACTAAAACCTACAAATCAAGCCAGAAATCTTGGTGTAGTTATAGACTCTGATCTAAACTTCAACAGCCACATAAAGACAATTGCAAAATTGGCCTATTACCATCTCAAAACAGCAAGAATTCTGTCTAACAGGAAATAGAAAAAGTTATTCATGCATTTATTTTCAGCAGGCTTCAACCATACAGCTGCACCAAGACAGTGCAGCACATCACACTGCTCCTGAAATCACTGCACTGGCTTCCTGTGCGTCAGAGGACAGATTTTTAAAATCCTTCGACTGGTCTTTAAATCTTTGAGTTGCCTTGGGTCCAAACACATCTCTGATCTACTTGTACGATATAAAGCACCCAGACCCCTCAGGTGATCTGGGACAGGTTTACTCAGTGTTCCCAGAATCAGAACCAATCAAGGTGAAGCAGCTTTAAGTTCCTTTGCTGCTTACCTGTGGAACGAGCTTCCTGAACACCTGAGATCTGCTGAAACTGTCAGCTCATTTAAATCATGGCTTAAAACATCAGTTTACTGCAGCTTATCAATAAATCGCATACATAACATCTTTTTAATCTTGTGAATTTGCTTGTTGTTAATGTCTTTTAAATGGTGTCCTAAGCTTCCTTCTTGATCTTATGTATTAAAATATTTTTATTTATTCAAATTAGTTTTTATTGTTTTTTTTTTTTTAAATACAGTTTTAATGTCATCTTAATGTTCTATTCTTAATGTATTTCCATAAAGCACTTTGAATGGTGTCTGAATGGTGCTGTATAAATAAACTTGTCTTGCCTTTAATCAGTGTTGGAAGGAACCAACAACATACTGATGATTTATTCTTGTTGTGACCTAAAACAGAAGGTTTACTCTGACGGGGGATTATGGATCCATCTTTTTTTTTTTTTTTATACCTGTTCAATTTTGACATTCATCATGTACAGTACAACCTAACAGATAGCATTCATCTTCTGGGGACTATGAACATACACTAGATTGTATGGAAATGTAGTTTCCAGGTTCGTGTTTAAAATACCAAAGTATTAAAAGTCAAACGTACATTATGACCTGATGAGATTCAGTCTTTTAGGCGGATGGACAGACTGACCAGCTGACCACAAACTGCCACAATTCCATTTAAGACATCATTAAAAATAAGAAATGGCCTAGTGGTTGAAGTGATTGCACAGTCCTGGAAATGCTGTTGCTATGAGACCTGCAAAAACCACATGCATTAAGACCTAAGTAAGTTCACCCAAGAAAAGCCAAGTCATTAAAATCGAAACGGTTCATCCCTCGGAAACCATGAATGGGCAATGACAATCTTCTTACTTATAGATATGTTGTGTACAAATCTGACATGTGACGTGTGAGGCAGCACAGTGGAGTACCAGGTATAAATAATGGACTGATGTAGTAACTTGACAGTGGCTGGAAAAGGAAGGTCAGATGGTCACACCTGGATTTATGGAATCAAAGACGGTTAGCATTGATTCTCTCAGGTCCATGAACATCCATCGTGAATTTCATGGAAATTCAGTTTCCATATTGCTTATTCAGTTAGTTCAGTCACATTGCACAAAGGTAAATTCTGGACTGATTAAGGCACCATAACGCAGGTCAGGGGGATCATAAAAAGCATTGGCGATTTTCCTCTGAGAACCATGACACAATACATTTCATGGCTGTCTGCTCAGGAGTGGCCTAAATATCTTGCTTTTAAAAAAATAAACAAATACTGATTATTGATCACTGGATCAGAACGACCCAATGCTTCAAATAATTCCTGCAAAAACCACATTTCACACTGAAGCTGCTCAGAACACTGCTACAGCCCCAGTGGAGTAAAAATTATACAGTATACTAGTCTACCTGTGAAGAATAAACATTAGCCTGCGGGTTTAATCACAGTGAAATTTTCCTTTGCTACATTAATAGCTCAAGGAAGGAAAGTCAATTAAATACAAAGACAGAGCAGAACAGTGAATAACTCTGTGGCTAATGTGGTGTATTTCTATTTATCTTACTTTGTCCTTTAAAAAAAATGTCTATTACAATATAAATACTCCTCGTAAGTGAAATAAAATTTACTCAGCCTAAAGCACTTACATTTAAAAATGAAATGGTAAGTTTTCACAGAAGAAAGAAAAGAGAGCGTAGCAGACTTACGGAGGGAGTGCCACTCGTCCTGCCTTATTGTCTTGGTGATGTTGTATGAGAGATTTTTGGGTATCGTAGCTGAGGAGTAGTGATATTTGATGTAGGAGCATCTCGCAATGGAACCTGCAGAGAAAAAAAAAAAAAATTTAATACAGAAACAGCACTGAGTCATAGGTCATTACATAAGATCCACACTGACGACACAGAACATAAAGATAACACTGTTCCACGGAAGATGATTCAGATGGAGATTCTGTGTCTGCAGTCATTAATAAATACCCAGAGACTGGCAAATCACTCACCCACCCTGAAACAATGGCAATCTGCTGTCGTATTAGACCCCATTGTGTCGACGCTGAAGGAACACTTTCAACATACATTTCCATTGTCTGCAACTCTGATACAATGGCTGTCAGAGAAATGGTGCATTCTTCAAAAGCTATTAACTAATCAGTCAAGGGAGACATTCATGGTGTAATTATGAACTTTTCTGAGAGTCCCCTGGCCTGATGATGTCTTTCGGATTTCTGGATCAAATATATTTCACTGACAATGTAGACTTGAGTCAGACTGACAGTCTGACATATGTCTGAATGAATTAATACTGAGAAATACTAAACCACAATGGCGGGAAGATATCAAAATGTTTCTTCTAAAGACCACAAAATGTTGTTAACAATGTCAGCATTTGTTATTTGGTCAAACACGTAGAACAGCCTCTTGTGATCATGTGACTAATCCTGAGGTAAAGATGAAAAACTCAGGGATGAGGTCTTCTGTGTCTGACTTTGACACTGCAGACTGTTACTCAGATCTTGTCTTCTACCAACAACAACTAGAATCAGCAACACGTGGTTGTTTCCTCCACCAACCAGCGAAGTTGCAGGAAATATAGTCACAGTCTCTCCTTCCTGTGCTACAGTGTTGAAGAATGGGCAGAGGTGTTTTTGCAGAACATTATGATGTCACAGTGAAGTTGACCTTTGCCCTTTTGGATATGAAATGTCATCACTTCATGTTATCCTTATATACATTTGTGTTAAATTGTGTCATAATTACTGAATGAATTTGTGAGTTATGGACAAAAGCATGTTTTGTGAGGTCACAGTGTGACAGAAGTGATGAAATGCCTGACTGCCTGACATGGCGGTGCTTTCAGCTAAATGCTAAAGTCAGCATGCTGACAGGTTCACAATAACAATGCAAAACATGCTAATGTTTAGTAGGTATAATGTTTAAAATGTTCACCATGTTAGTTTATTGTATCATTTGTCATGAATTTGTCATAAATCAGTTGTTGGACAAATTAAAATGTTGACATGATGTAGACTAGAAGTTCCTTTGATGGAAACATGTATAAATTACCATGGCAACCAATCCTATATCAAGATATCACCCTCAAAACCACACATGTCAACCTCATGGTGGTACTAAATGACATTTGTGCCATAGAGCCACACTGCTAGTGTGGCTATAATAAGGTCATAGGGGTTGTTTGGGAAGATAATGACAAAGAACCTGGTTTGTCGTTTGATTTGGAGGAAATGTCAAAGTCACCTATTTCTAATGTATATTAAACAGTGACAAGTCACAGACTGCTGCTTCGGTTTGACATTTGCTCAGTCCTGAAAATGTGCTGCCAGAAAAAAAGACCTATGTTTACTGGTTCAAGTCCCAGCATTCAACATTCAATAGTCAACAGTCTCATAATAACCCAGCAGAAACATAGACATTGTTAGAAAGTCTGCCTGTAACTAAATGGTCAAGGGACAGACTAAACTAATAGCTGCTGCAGTGACTGTAAGCTTGTTGCCCTAGTGTCTTATTATAATTACACATTGTTAGCAGTGTGGCAAGTATTGTTTTCACTGTGTGTGTGTGTGTTTGTGTGTGTGTATGTGTATCATCATGTCTCACACACAGTGATAGTGTCACAAAACTTAACAGGTGTGTAGTTGAGATAAAAGTGAAGGCAGAGATCAAATACGAGTGTTGTCTGACTCTAAGTACTGAGTATGAGTAATAATAATGGTAATAATGTAGCAATGATTACTGAGTATTTATGGGTCGGAACGTCAACGTGGCGGAGATTATTAGAAAAGCAGGTTGTCTGTTTGACTGTGAGCGTGTTGGTCTTTTTGTGGACACTGTTATATGTGCTGGCAGGTCATTTTATATCAGTACAGGTGTATTTGCTCACCTGAAGGTTTTTGCTTTTATCCACACAGAAACATTTCCATCTTGGCCAAGTATACAAACTCTTTTTTTGGATATTTCTACTTTTTTGGCTGGACCGCAACAGAGGGATACAGACCAGGGGCTTAGGGCTTCACCTCTTGTTACAGACAGTCCACTGAGCTGCGTTGGTTTCCTTGCTGCTCAGGAACTGCCCAGGGAAGAGGAGGAGTGCTTCCAAAACACTGAGCCTCACCTCCATTACAGCAAATAAACTACTTTCATTACATGAATCATTATTACTAAAAGAGGCAGAGAAAGAGAGGGAGCAGCAAGAGAGAGGGAGGGAGAGAGGGAAGTCATCGGTAATGAGGCTTCATACTACTCTTTGTCTTTCATTTATGTGTTTGATTTTGTCAGACGAAGTCACAGTTATAAAATCAGTATTTGACCGTAGGCAGTCCAGACATGTACTAGGTTTAGACCTGGTCTTGTTTAAATTTGTTGCATTCTCTACTTTATCACAATCCCAGTTATTGTGTATATAACCTGTATGTTTTGTAGTTGATCTTTACCTCCTATAACCTGCCCCTGTATTAACACAATGTGAGAATGGTAATAGTAGTAAAAACTATATTTTCATACCATGACTGTAATTTCCTGGCTGGTGGAGAAAGAGCACCACTTCCTTTCGACATCATTACATTACACCACATAGCTGCACTAATTATTTCTGGCAAGGCTTTGTGGCCCACTGAAAACTGCATTATAATTATTGGAGTCCTGGAAGAGTTGAAGTGCACGAACACAGACAACCAGGACAACACTCCACTGCCTCTCCTCTGTCCTACAGACATGCACTCACTTACACAACAACAACAAAAACAACCACACACACTGGCATAAAGAAGCAAGCCTAGGAGACCACAACTGCTGACAATGATAATTACCCATTCATGACTATCTCTTTAGCTGCGGTACAGTCAGCACAGAGGGAGCAGATGTATTAGATGAAACCACTAATACAACTAATGATACAGTGCTACAGCGTATAACTTTTAAAGTTAAAATAATCTCCAGACTTCTGTGACCCAAGCTCATTGGACATCCTGCCCTCACCTTTCCAGCCAATAAGAGAAGGCCAGAGTCAGGGGTGGGAGCTCCTCAGTCAGAACGTGAATGCTCTTCTGGTCCACTGCTCTCAGACTGAGGCTTCAAAACTGGATTACATTGGTTGAGGTGAAGGGCTGGGCGGAGCGTGAGGGAGCAGGGAGAGGGAGGGGTGGTAGTTGCATTATCGAAAAGCTTAATTACTTTCAACAGTGTTTTCAAAAATAGAGGACACATGGATTAACTGTTTTTTGCTGTTATCTGTCTTAGGATTTGCCAGGAAAAAAATGTAAATATGAACAGATGGCAGCTTGTAAATAATTCTTTATTAGTCTCCATACATTAGTCTCCATAATCCTGGAGGTTTTTATTCACTTTGAGCATATGATGACAGGCTGGTGCATGTAAAAACACCCTTCTACACTTGATTATATTTATCCCTGTCTGGCAGTAGGTTGGTCAGTCTGTATGTCAACCAATCAAAAGTAAAAGTACTTATTGTGCAGAATGGCCCCAGTCAGAATAGTACATGGTTATCTAAATTATAATATTATTTTATTGTTACTGATGCAAGAACCAATAAAGAAAATGTTTTAACTACTAATTACATACATGGGTAGTTTAATCTATAAAAATGCATTATACACTATATATTACATTCATCACATTCTGAATTAACTCCAGCTGTCAGATAAATGTTGTGGAGTAGAAAGTACAATATATCCCTCTAAAATGTATTGAAGTAATGAAGCAAAGTACTTCAGAACTGTATGTAAGTACAGTTAAAGATCTATACTTTCTTCTTCTCCTGTGTTTTGTTTGAAGTGTTGATCCATAAGAAGATATACTAGTTGTGGTTTTAAGAACCAAAAACCATCTCAGTGTAGTTTTACATCTCCTCTCTCAGGCTTCTCTCTGGAGCTCTAGTAACAACAGGTCGGTGGCTGAGTGTTTTCTGAGTGATCCGATAAAAATATAGCAGATTTCAGGTAAACACTCAGAGAAACCAAGTCCTGCAAGGCTGGATGGTGGATCCAGGTGAGCGGGGCTTGGAGCATGGCTGAGAGTTTTGACTGCTTCGTTGTGACATCACAAAGCTACAGAAGGCCTGACGGCTGGTTTCAAGGCTCAGTTTCTGAATACAGGCTGTGTGCATTTCTCTGTGGACTGAGGCTTTGATACTTTCACAGTATTAATATAGAACCTAGACCTGCTTTGTAATCAAACCACACATGGACATCTACCTTTAGACTATATGGGACCTTTATGTAAATGGGATCAATTATGTATGTATTAGCTATGTTACTTTACTGCACTGAAGGAAATGTATTTTGACAGTACTTTAGCTGAAAGATATAGAGCACTTAAGACCATAACCCACCAACACACCAACATACAAATGTGCACTGCTCCATTCGGTGAAATGGCAGCCAATGGTCCACATAGCCAAACTCCAGTAAGTTAATTTGCTGTGGTGGTAAATACAAACACTAGGGTTTAAAATATCCCTTCTGAAACATCACCAGTAGTACAACAGATGGATAATATGAAAATATGATCTCCAATCTGAAAGGTTTATAATCTATCATGGTTCCTATGCCCATGCTTGGACATAACCAAATCAGACTGAGACCATAACAAGGATGGTAACTCTGCCAGGTAAAATCCACTCAGTGTTCTAACTTTACACCCTTATCCCTAGTGTCGGGTATCCTAACGCAACACTGATTAATCAGTGATGTTCCTGTGTAATTCATGTACTCACTGAAGGCTTTGCTTAAGGCTCCCACAAGACATCTCCTGTTACCTCAGAGCTACTTCCCCTGTGTAGTGTTTGA